GGATAGATCCGTGAAGGAAGAGATTTCACATTATGCAGCTTGAAAGAGCGCTGCTGCCCCGCATTCTCCCCTAGGAGCCGTTCAGCCTGCGAGCGCAGTGAAGGAAATGGGTGGAACAAGATGAAAATGGACTTTTCGTACTCTGATGACTGTTTTAAAGGGTGTTTCTCTCTGTGTTTTTTAATCCTTCTCTCATGCATTTATTACTAAAAATTTTTCACAGTTTATTCCCTCTTTCCCAGGAAAGTGGCTGTCCAAACAGAGCTGCTCCTGGGGTTTGCAGTCTTGTTAAAATTGATCTGTCAGCTCAAGTGCTTTTGAAATCAATTGTAAATGTTTGGATTAGTTAGCACACTTTTAAAAAGTATTTCAGTGCTTGACACTTGAAAATGAAAAAGTAGAGGAACGTCTTCATATCTGGGAGAGAGTTTCCTTGGGTTTTGACTTCCAATGCAGAGCTGTGGTAAATGAATTTATAATCGGTTTAAAGAAGTCATTTTCAGATATATTTTTTTGGTTTGAAAAACAAGGAGAACCATTATTCCCTGTGATGGGAGTGTGCAGTGCACTGTGGTACCCAAGATGTGGTACCCTACCCAGCTAGGTGGGATGACCAAACACAAGAATAACCTTTCGATGGAAGGAACCAGGATTCCTCAGGGCAGTATTCCACAGTGAAATTCAGCTTATGCCATGGCTCCTTCAACCCCTTCTACTCAGTTCTGTGCTTCTGGTTTCACTTCTCCGCAGAGAGGCAAGCTCCAGTGGTCCAGGACTCCCGCTGTGGCTGGGAAGCTGGCAGGCTGGCTGTGGGTGAAGATCTTCCATGCTTTGGTCAGTCCAGGACCAGGAATTCTTGGTGCCTGCTGCCCAAAGGAGAGGAATTGCTCTCTGGATTTCACACTTCTTTTCCCTACCCTGCTCCTTCAAAGGCAGCTGGGTTCAATACAAACAGATGTTGACTTTAATCCATGCTACAAATTAATGTTTTCTCTTATTTACCGGTGTATTCCTTCTGGAACAAATCAGGATACAGGCTGCTGGCAGTGCTGTCAGTCTCAGAGTCTATTTTTAATCTTCCCCTCTCTTGGCAAGTCCACGTTGGTTTTTTTTTTTTCTTCACTGTGAAAGAACTCAACAGAAAGAATAAATAATAACAAACAAGACAGATTAATTAAATTCAGTGTCACCTTCAGTGCTAGAGCTAGAGGAAACAAAATTAATGGAGAGAAATCTAGTTTCAGTCATTAGCACCAGTCCCTGGTGAGGAGCAGTGCAGCTGCTCTCTGCTTTGGGTGGAGAACGGCTCTCTCTAGCTCCTGAGTGATGCTGTCTCCTTCCCCTGTTGCTCTCTCGGGGTGAGAGGCTTTTCCCTCCAGTGAGGAAATACCAAACCAATACCAGACATACCCAACACCAACCAAACCCCACCATAACCGGGGGAATAGCCACCATGTATCCATTTGGGATGGATGTCCCGTGAAACTACCAGCCCTCACTCAAAACGGGCAAATACAGGGCATGAGAGGCGAAGCAATTTTCCCTGCTCTTGTCTGGCCGTTGTGTCTAGGAGAGGTGCAGAAGAAAATGGGCTTCAGGGAAGAAGTGAGAAAGCCACAGCTGGAGAAAGCCCTGAGAGCAGGTCTTCCAGAGAATCCTTTTGGGTGGAGTTCTCGCTAGAAAGGGACTAGCCTTCTGTGCAAAAAACAGACCTCCCGTTCTTTGTTCCCTGTCATATTTCAGAAAAAAAAATTACTCTTCGGCCACTTGGTAAATAAACGGGATTATATTGGAGATGCTGGCTCCCACTTTTATCTTCCCCTTCCTGAAACATCACGGAGAAGCTAGAATTTTGCCTAAATTATAAACCTCTCATCATCTGGCCACAGTTTGGTCTGAAAAGATCTTTCTCAACTCAAAGCGGGATGGTGAGAGAGCTCAAAACCTGTCTAAGAGTCTGAAGAATGAAGCGTGGATGATGTCTGAACACCCTTGATTCACGTACACAATTGTCTCCGCAGCAAAGCCATTAATTCTGAGGACTGCAGAACACCAGCCTGGCTTGGCAACTGTCTTGGCTCGTAAGCAGGTCACTGCACTGCAATAAGATATTGCCATATCTCTTCCCACACCTCCGTGCGCCTTCCAGCTCTACAGCGTGGTTCCTCAGTTCAATCTGAACGTCATCTCTGCGTCTACTGTTTTCTCCTTGGTTGGGTACTGTGGGACGGAGCCTTCCCTGGCAGCCCTCTGCCCTGCTGGCTCTGCTGTTGTGCCTGGCTCCCCATCTCTTAGGGACCAGCAAGAACTTCGTTTTTGCTAAGCTGCCAGCAGCCTCCTGTGGCTGAAGCTGTGCATCTTTCTGATGGGCTTTGAGACCTGTCAACGGTAAGCAAAGCGCCCCACATAGCTACGAGTTATTTCTGCTGTTGTAGGAATGATACACCTGACTTGTGGTCTGGTACAGATCAGCCAGATGAATTTTTACTGCTGGGTACTGATAAAGCTGGAGCTTGTGAGACCCTTTTGGATGTCCGAGAGGCTCTACAAGAAGAGCCATGGAAAGAAAACGAAGCAGTAAGTGGATCCAATAGTAGTTTTCATAGCCGGGGAACTGCATAGTAGGTATGGACAGTGTTGAGCTGTTTAAAAACTACTGACTTGTTTCAAAAGGCTTCGTTCTCACCACTGTCACTCATTACACTTTGGAAATCTGTATCCTCGCACAGCTCTTCAACTCACTTTGGTTTGAAAACCTCTGTTTTGATATTGATTGCATGTGCCAGATTGCAAATGGTCTCAATTTGTCTCACTGCTTTCTTTCTACCAGTAGTGTGCGACACTCTTCCAGCTGCGGGTGAGAAGGTGCTTTCAGCAGCAGGAGGACAGAGTCTGTTCAGCGATATTCGATTTCCATTCAAAGGCAATAATTCTGGCTACATGGGCCTGTATCTTCGTAGGATGATATTTCTACTTTCTGCGGTCAGGAAGATGGCTCGTATGACGCATATGTGCATCACAAGTGAAACAGTGGGCTGTGACTTGGAATTCTACATCCAAATTTTAGCTTTGAAAGAAGCCCGGGGAACCCTTTTAACTCTACGTGTGCCTCTTCCCTGGTTCTGAACTTGCACGACGAGACGCGCTGTGCGCTTGGCCAACAGGTACGGAGTGCCTGGCACAGCGGAGCTGAACTTTGATTAAAAGCCATCCCAGAAATCACTAACGGGCTGCTTCACCCGCGAGTGGTGAGGATTGAGCCTGGATACTGTGTTTGTGTTGCTCTCCGAGCGGCGTGGCTTTGTCAGAGGCTGTTGTTAAGCCGTAATATGTTTGGGATCCAGCTGCCCAGGGGTCTGCTAGCCCTGACTTATCACCTGGTGGAGCTCTTCTGACAGGCCACCAGTAAATGCTTCATGAGCAGGTCTGTCCAAGTCCTTGGCAAAAACTGCCTTAGCCTTAATCCTGCTGTGCATCTTGCTACAGCCAGTAAATAAGTAAAGGTGCCAAAACACCCAGCGGTGGCAGCGGCACCCAAAATGCACAATTTTTAACAAAAGCATTTAATGAAGGAAATCTCTTACTCATCTGTAAGACAAAATCACTTGACATTTAGCATTGTGGGAACCTCGTTTTTCGGATAACCTTCTTCTAGGGAAGAGTTTTCTGAGAGAAACAGCATCAAGTGGAACAGAGGACTCCTGGATTCTTTCCCTGACTTGTGCCATAGGTGAGCTGTGCCTTCTGGTAAGCCCTCTGCTGCCTCAGTTTCCTCCAGAGTTAAGGAAGTTTTCTCCCTCCTGCAGTATTATGAGCACGCCTGTATGGATGTATCTAAAAGGCTATGTAAATGTGCAGATATCACTGAAATTCTCAAATAATATTGATCCTACGGGGCAGATGAAATAATGGACGATTATTGTGCCTTCACTACAAGAATATCAATATGTTCTGCAAGCAATAACTGTGGTGACTGCAGGGAACAGAAGATTTCTGAGGTACATATTGATTATTATAAATTTTCCTAAGTTTTTTTTTTTTTTAATCTAGAGAGAAATTGCAGCAAATGAATTAGAGGCAGAATAATTCAAATTGAAAAGGGACCACCTTGACGTGGGAATGTACGGTTCGAGGGTGGCTCTTGGGTGCTGCGTGCTAAACCACTTCAGCAGCGAGACAGATGTAAAGCATTGGCTCGCCCAGCAAGCAGCTTCAGAATCTACTCTGTAAACAGAGCAGCGTTGCAAAGCTCTGGGAGCCAGCTCACAAAGGAAGACACTGCTCCTATCTGAGTGCCTGTGACTGCAGGCAACCGAGAGCAGTGGCACCATACGCTGCTCCGGTCTTTGCTTCCAGCTCTGCAAGGTGTGGGCAAGGACTCCAGCAAGGCAGAGAGAGTGGAGAAACTGCTGCTGTTCATTATCTTCACTGGTCACCTCCTTTGGATTGTTTTTTTTTGTTTGCTTGGGTACAGGGTGAAGAGGACGGAAAGATGATTTGAAGTCGAGGAACTGTCTGAAAGTGCTTAAGGCTGATATTCTTAGCAAACAGCAGTGCCCAGAGGGAGAGGACGATACTAAAACTAGGCACTCTCTGGAACCGAGCAGCCTATCGAAGCTAAGACAGCAACTGTTTGGGACCTCTTGGGATCATAACCCTAGGAAGAACAACAAATTCAGAAGTACTGTGGATTCAAAAGCAGAATAAAAGCTATTGCCAAGCTTCCATCGGCCACATCTACTTTGAAACTGCAGTTGGGACACTGCTGGAAAGCATTCGGAAAGGAAACAACCTGTGCTGGCCAGGTCCTGGGAAAGCAGGTGGCTGAAAGAGGCCTGTCCTTCCTTGCTCCGTTATGATCTCTGGTTAAGTGTTCTTGTCCACGTGTGGAAGAGGCAGAAAAAGCCTCTGCAAATTCCTTCCCAGGTCTGTTGCCAAAAGCAAGGAAACCGTTTTAGG